TTTTAGCATTTTTGAGGTTAATGTTTAAATTGCTGATTTTATACGCACAGACACACATCAAACTTCCCTAACTTTTGCTAGTTCCTATCTATATTAGTTTATACTATTTTTAAAATTTTGTTGTTAATTTCCTTTCTAACTCATAGATCTAAAGACGATTCACATAAAACAATATACTCCCAAACAACGAAATAGGACTATTTAGTTGCTGTACAGCATCATGCTAATGTCTGCAATATGTTTTTCACAACTTAGCCCAGGGTTTTATGAACACTAGGCAAACACTTTATGACTGAGCTGTAACTCCAGTCATACAAACGTCAACTAGGTCAAATGGTTACCTGTGCTATTTAGTTGTATTTTAAGTATTTGTTTTGTTTAGTACTTAATTTTGAATTTGTATAATCTATTAGTTACTATTGTGATTGCTATGATTATAGTTTTGCCTGTTCACAGTCTTGCCAATTTATATTTTTATATTTTAATATGTTATAAATTATATGCATTTTTAAATTTTTTTAATTTTCCTGATAGGTTAGCTAATTTAAAAACCATTTTTAAGCCAGGCATAATGCCTCACACTTGTGATTAAGCACTTGGCCTAAAGCAAGTGAATCAAATGTGAGCTTAGCCTGGACTACAGAGATCCTATCTAAAACAAAAATAAAATACTTAATGTTTTCAGTTAAAATTTCAATTGACAAAACTTGTATGTGTTTATGTAAGATATATTGTTTTGATATCTATTAACACAGGAAGGATAAATTAAACTAAGCTATCTATTACCTTATATACTTAGTTTTTTATAATGAGAACACTTAAAATCTATTCTTGCAACAATTTTCAAGTAGAGAATACATTGTAACCATTTTGCTCTTTGATTCTATGAGTTTGACTATTTTTGAGTCCATTTATAATCAGATCATGCAGAATTTGTCTTTCTGTGCTTATTACTCTGAATATAATATCCTCAAGGTTCATTCATGTTATTGCAAATGGCAGGATTTCCTTCTATAAAGCTGTGCTTGCATTGTAACAACTCTGTTGTTCATTCATCCATAATGAATACTAAATTAATTCTAAGTCTGGCTACTTATGTGCTGCAACCAGCACAGTTGAGTAAACTTAGTTTTTTGACACAATCATTGAATTTCATCTGAATAGACAGCCATAAAAAGAATTATTGGATCATACAGTAGTTCTACTAAGTGTGAATTTAATTTAAATTTCTCTATAGTGATTAGTGATTACTCATAGTTTTGGTTTCATATATCCATGAGGCACTTCTTTGTCTTCAGGAAATGTCTTTTCAGGTCCTTTGAACATATTTTAAAACTGAGTTGTTTTCTTACTGAAAACAACTGAATTGAATTCCTTATCTATTCTAGATATTAACCTCTTATCAGATGGATGGTTTGAAAATATTTTCTTTCATTTCACAGTTGTTTCCCCAAGATTCCTTCATCCTTTGCTGTGTAACTTTTCAATTCCATGCAATGCTATTTGTCTGTTGTTGCTTCTGTTGCCTGTGCTATACAAGCTGTTGGAGATATATATATATATATATATATATATATATCTTTCTCCCAGCAGATTTATAGATTCAGTCTTAAATCTTTAATCCACTTTGGGATAACTTTCATATATGATATAAGAGAAGAGTCCAATTTTAGTCTTGTCAATGAGGCTATGTGTTCTTCAGCACAATTTATTGAAGACTACCTTCCTCATTATTCTTGGCAATAAGAAAAAACCATATACATGGCTTTAAAATATAAACCTCAGAAGTCACACATCATTTATATCATACTCTCATTAATCCAAAAAACTCAAAACCTACCTGAATTAAAGAACAAGAGACATAAACCCTAGTCCCCAAATAAGAGGGTTGTATGATGCTCAATGTGGAAACTAGAAAATGAACTCAGGTCCCCTGGCATTTTCTGGAAGACAAGCTATCTATCTTAACTGCCTGACCCAGCTTTCCATCCCCTGCTTTTCTAAATATACCTTCTTCCATCCAAGATAATATTAAATACAATTCCATTTATTCTTTGTGTTTTCATACTTAGACCCAACTTTATTTTCTTCCACTTGAAAGTTTACTATTCTTAATAACACTTAACAATATATTTATATATTATATTATTATAAATGTTACATATATATCTCCTTTCCTCCTTGAAAGGGAATTTCCATTTTGATATTTTAAAATTGTATAATTCTAACCATTCCAGCAGGACAAAAATATTCTAAAGACAGATAGTTGTATTCTGTCAAAAAACTATTAGCTTTGATGATCAGATTAGTAAAAAATGGTCCCGAAGACACAGAATTTCTCCAGAAACCTCATGGAGGAGGAAGTTCCCTCCCAAGTAGAGATTTCGCTCAGTTCTCGGTGCATGCCAGACTATCCAGCAGGAAAGAATGGAGCCCAGATAATGATGAGTCAGCAGTGAAGAGCAGGATCCCACCTTCACCAGGACTGCTGAATACCACAAAACCTTAAAGCTTTGTCCATAACCGTATGAACAAAAGTCCCCATGAAGAAAAATAGTGGAGCAAAACTAGAAGCTAACAAGTACGCGAGACATATTTCATTTGATGCTCTTAAGAATAACTTCAGGTTTGGGGGCATGCATTGTTCAGGACTTGAGAGGTGGAGGTCACTAGACTCCTTTATTTTTTCTTCACAATATGGCCACATTGAGTAAATCTCCTGTTTTTCGCTGTTATTTTTCTCTTTCATTGGCCTGTTGAAGACAGGTGGCTAGTCCTGGCTTGTTGGCGCTGCCAGGGTCAGGCTCCGATCCTGACAACTGTGGTTACAGTACTGCAAGTAAAAGTTGGACTTCGTTCTTTTTTATTGCCTATTCTTGTGGCAATAACATGTTAGTCTGACAGACGGTAAATTTAATACGCGAAACCTCTCTTTGCAGTTTTCTCTAACAAACCCATTTCAAGAGCACTTTTTCCAGGCATAGATTTTTAAAATGAAACTAGTTGTAAATTAAAATGTCTATATAGTCTATATTTCAGAAATTGAGTTAATAACTAGATATGATGGCACCGGGCTGTAATCCCAACCCTTGGGAGATAGAAGGAGGAAATGCAGGAGTGAAAATGCCGTCATTGGCTACTAAGCACGTTCAGTGTCAGCCTGAACTACCTGAAATCAAATCAAAACTCAGATAATTCAGTTCACGGGCAGACTATCAGTTAGAGCCCATACAATGAATAAAAATAAAACAGAAAACAACCATATAGGCAAAAGTCCTTATGAAGAAAAACAGTGAGGCAGTACCAGCATCTAACAAGTGTAACATATACATTTCATTTGATGCTCTTGCTAACACCCAGAGGTAGGTGAAAGAAACTGATGGAGGACAATGGAGGAGACTGGTAAACAAATTATCTAATGCAGGAAAGCAAAGAAAATGATACACCAAGGAAGCACAGAGACCACAGATGGAGTCCGTGAATGTTTTATTTTTCTAACCCTGTCTATACAGAAGTGAAGAACTAAACTGATCACTATAAAACTATGTCCTATCTTCTCCTTCTACCTAACTGAAGACATGGACTAAGCTCATCTGATACAATAGCCATGTTAAGTCCATGACATGGTTTTTTGTTTTTCAGGGAGTATAAACCTACCCACAAACAGTGGAAGAACAGATATGCTTTCTATCCTTCATCAACACTGAACCCCAAGCACTGTTCCCCAATCGCTCTCAAAAAAACACATCTGGGTTCCCTGGTGACTACCAGGGGTAGAATGGTAGCTACCTTATGTCTGACTCTGAAATAAAATATACAAAGAAAAATAAATTTTCATGTAAGATAAAACACACAAGACAATACCACCAAGTCACAGATCACACAATGGATATTATCAAATAAAACAAGTTAGTAACACAGGCAGCCTCTACTTCTACACTCGAAAGCAGGGCTGGCTTACTCTAAAACTAACACAAGATTTGTAATAGATTTATTGGAAACAAGTATTAGCAACACCATAAACAAATCAGGAAAGAGGATGAGCACTCAAAAGTACTTTTCTAATTGGAAAAGGGCAGGGCAGACAGGTATAAAGAAAAGGCTTGTGTATATGCCACATTTATTTTCCTTGGCTTCTAAATCAGGGAACCTAAGAAGGAGAAATGGGAGTATAGAGAACAGGGAAAAACAACTATTCTTGCAGAGATGCTCTACATCAGCTTAAAAGAGAAATAAGTATCAATTCATCAAGCCCAGGGACATGAAGAGGCACCGTGCAATCCTTCCATCCCAAAGAAGGAACACATGAGACATGGTTCTGAATCAGTGAACGGACATTTTTGGGGGAAAACATCCTGAGACAATAAAAGGGTCCAGGACCTCGTAGATGACACAGATCACACCCTCCTCCTCAACAACAGCATCACAGCCAACACCAACCACACCATTACTAATACAACAGAAACACAACGATGCTGGGATGGTGGTTTTAGAAGGATTAGCTCTTCATCTTCAAAATAATCTCAATAATCTCTTATTACCTCCACGGTACAGACAATGAAGATGGAGTTCAGAAAGGTTATAGAAATGTGCCGTAATTGGGGTAGGGGAGAAGGGTCAGCAGAGAGAGCACGCTCTATGGAAGTGAAGAGGATGAGTTTAGAACCCCAGAACCTACACAAATGTCAGGTGCACATGGCGGCTCATCTGTAATTACATGCTTGGGGGGCAGAGACAGGGAATTCTCACAGAAAGCTGGATAGCAAGAATAACCTCCCCAAGCTCTAGATTTGACTAAGAGACGTTGCCTCAAAAAATAAGATGA